CATCATCATCATCATCATCATCATCATCATCATCATCATCATCATCAATATCTTTGGAAGGCCAAAAGCTAATGTTCTATTCTAGAATTACTTGGATAGAAAAGAGGAGATACTCGACAAGGACATCTTGGAGAAACGGGCAAATCTACATGGAGAAGTTTCTGCCAACACAGATCACAAGCTATCTACGATTCAGTAGCTAAACTGTAGGGAGCTACACTAGGTGTATAAAAGGGAAGTGACTTGCCCAGGGTCACAGAGCTAGCTAATAGGTATAGTGATAATAATGGTATCAATAATAATGACAGCGAGCACTGATGTAGTGCTTTAAGGTTTGCAAAGTGCAAATATTGTCTTATTTAATCTTTACAACAACCCAGAGGGATATGGGCTATTATTATCCCCATTTTACAGATGAAGAAACTGAGGCAGACAGAGGTTAAGTGATTCGTTCAGAGTCGTCCAGTTGGTACGAGTCCGAGGCCTGAATTGAACTCAGGTCTCCCTGACTCCAGGCCCAGTGCTCAAACCACCGTACCACCTAGCTCACTGTCGAAAGTGGTACTGGAACGCAGGTCTTGCTGACTCCGAGCTCAGCACTCTGGTCACTACACAATTCTCCCTTTCTTTCAAAATAAATGCATCAGATAAAGCATAAAATCTAGGGAACAGATGGGTCAATGCATTGCAACAGGTTGCAGGGAAACAAAAGGAAAAAAAGAAATTGGCAGCAACAAACGAAGAGAGTTAATGTGAAATAAAAAAGATTTAGAGAAACTCATAGGTGCTGGCAAACCCTTTCATCAATATTAGATCACATACGTTGTCTGACCAAAACAAGGGGATTTCCCCTCCCTCTTTTCTTCAGTCCTTAAATGAAAAAGCAAACAAGAAATCATTTGGGTAAAAAAGACCGACCCCGATCCCTGCAGCCCTGGGCAGATGCCCCAGCCCAGTCTTTCCTACCTTGTCAATCTTATCTGGGCGATTGGTAGCTGCTAAAATAATCACATCTTTCAGCTGTTCGATCCCATCCATTTCCGTTAAGAGTTGGGCCAGAACACGGTCGGCTACATTTCCGGCACCTGAAGAGCTAAGTTTAAAAAATAAAAAGTTAGTACCCATGCAAATAACACATCTGCATCCCAAAATAGGGGAAAAGATCTTCACCATCTCTGAAACAAGTAAGTAAAATGTTAAGTGTGTAAAATAATCTTGCCGGACATTTTCCCCCCAGTCATAATCCATTACTGGCCAGAAAGGAAGAATATGGAAAGGTATAAAGTCTCTGCCAAAGCAGGAAACGGGATTTAAAATCTCATTTCCCCAGCTCTCTCGGGAGTCATGCATGAGAGCCGGAAAAATACCAAACAAAGAATCACTCAATCAGCAGTCATTTATTAACTGCTTACTATGTGAGAGAAGATATGCCAAGCACAAAAGCCAAACCTTGTCTACCCTCAAGAAGCTTATATTTAATGGGGAGGACAACCCCTACACACATATGCATAATATGTGATAAGATATATACGTAGCATACAGGAGCACGTGTGCAGGGGAAGGCCCTATATGGAGGGGAAGCTGGTGGGGAGGAGGGCCACAGAAAGGCCTCCTTAGGGAGGGGACCTGCATTGGATCTGGAATCCCAGGATTCCAAGCGGAGATGGGGAGAGGCAACATTCTCTCAGGTTTGTTGTGAAAATCAAATGAGATTTATACACACACATGTATGTGTATATATTGTATATGTTTATATATATGTATACATATATGTCTGTACGTGTGTGTGTATATATACACATATATGTATATGTTGCATTGTAAACTTTCAAACACCATATAAATGCTAGCTAACACCATCATTACTGAAGAGGATATAGGAAAAACTGGCACACTAATGCACTGTTGGTAGAGATGTGAGCTGGTCTAGCAATTCTGGAAAGCAATTTGGAATCAAGCCCCCAGTGTTCCTGAACTGTACATCCTGTGACCTAGAGATATGCCAAAGAGATGGGTCGGAGTGCGGAGAGACTTGAGTCAGGGAAACCAATTAAGAAGTTACTCCGATAGTTCAGACATGAAATGAGGAGGATCTTTACTAGGGAGGTGGATGGAGAATCACGGACAGAAAGAGAAGTTTGTGAGAGATGCTGTGGAGGCAGAAACAAGATACGGCAATTGACTGAGCAGGTGGAGTGAGAATGAAGAAAAGATGATGTCGAGGCTCTTTTTTTTTTTGGTCATGGTTTTCAGGTAGAACAATAATTTTTAAATTATCTCTCCTGGATCTATTTTCCAGGTCAGTTGTTTTCCCAATGAGATATTTCACATTGTCTTCTATTTTTTCATTCTTTTGGTTTTGTTTTACAGTTCCTTAATTTCTCATGAAGTCGTTGGCTTCCATTTGCTCCATTCTAGAGAATGAAGAAAACAGCATGACATCAAGGCTGTGAAGCTAGCTACTAGAAGGATGGAGGTCCCTTCAGGGCAACAGGAAAGTCAATGAAGAGTGCAGGGTTTGGGGTGAAAGATAACGAGTTGTGTTTTGGGCATGTTGAGCTCGAGATGCTTATAACACATCCAGTTCAGGACGTCTAAAAGGCAGCTGGTGATGCAGGCCTGGAGCTTAGGAGGGACTACGGCTGGACATATAGATCTGGCAATTATCTTCATAAAAATAATTGGAGCCATGGGAGCTGCTAAGATCACCAAGTGAGAAAGCATAGAAGGAGAAGAGAAGAGGACCCAGGACAGAGCCCTAGGGCACAGCCAGTTGTTGAGCATGACCTGGATGAAGATCCAGAAAAAGAAATGGAGAAAACCCTAGAGGAGAGTGGGTGTCAGCAACGTCAAATATTGTAGCGGGTCAATAAGAACGGGAACTCAGAAACGGCCATCCGATTTGGTGATTACAAGATCTTTGGTGACTTTAAAGAGAGTAGTTTCAACTGACTGATGAGGCTGGAAGCCCAATCACAGAAGGTTCAGAAGAGAGTGGGAGGAGGCACCAACTTTAGATGGTATTTTCAAGGCTTCTGATGAAGAAACGGAGAAGAAATACAAGATGAGCGCTAGCGGAGATGGCAGGGCATAGAAAGAGGTTTTTCGGGATGGGGTTTTGGGCACGTTTGTGGGCCACAGGGATGGGGAAAGACTGGAGAGGAGAGAGAGACAAGTGATGATGGTGGGGGCAATCTGCCAGAAAAGAAGAAGGGGATGGAATCAAGGGGGCACGTAGAGAGATTTACCTCGGCGAAGAGGAGGGCTGCTGCTTCGTCAGACACTGGAGCAAAGGAGAAGAAGGCAGGGGAAGATATCAGGAGAGGGGGAGAAGAGGGAATCTGGTGGATGGCTTCGATTTTCCTAATAAAGCAAGAGGTAACATTCTCAGCTAAGAAGCTATCTCAGAGGCCAGTCTTGATGAAGAGGTCAAGTCCAAGGTCGCACAGGTAGTAAATGACAGGCAGAGGCAGGATTTGAACCCAAGTCTCTTCTCCATTCTACCATACTTGCTTCTCAATACCAAGTTACACCAGTCCTTAAGACTACAACCCACGGTTGGCCCTTCCTCCTCTTCCATAAAATGGGGACACTCCACCACACAGAGCTGCTGGGATTAGAGCACTTTTCAAGTCTTAAATCAGTATGGAAATGCAAGTAACATTATTAGTCCAGACTTCCTGTCTCTTCCCTCACCTCCATTCAATAAATTCCAACGGCTCCCTATCGCCTCCAGGATCAAAAACAAAATCCTCTGTTGGACGTTCGAACTCCTTCACAACCTGACCTCCTTCCACCTTTCCCCACGCTCTTATGCCTTACTTTTTACAACGGCTTCCCTGCCTTCCTTCAAGTCCCTGCCCAAATCCCACCTTCTATGAGAAGCCTCTACTGATCTCTCTTACTGTTGGACCCTGCCCTCTACCAACTACCTCCAGCTGACCTGGTGTACGTCTCCTTCGTACCGAGCGGTCTCCATGCTGTCTTCTTCATTAGACCATGAGCTCTTTGGGACCAGGCACCACTTTTTGTTTTCATTGTAACTCCAGGGTTTAGCATAGTGCTCGACACACAGTAGGTGTTTAATAAATGCTTGCTGACTGGACTTCCTTTGAACTGATCATTTAACCACCAAATCTTCTGTAAAACAAGGAGAATGACCTTGGTGGGGTCTAAGGAACCTTTGATAACTAAAATGCTATGATTTACACTGCATTTTAATCTTATTAGTTTGTTCCAAAGTCAAACCGTCTTTCGGGCTTTGGATACGTTGCTGGTAGTGGAAAACACAGAGCACAGAATGATTAACAGTGATGGATTATTTCTCTACAGCACACCTCTCTTTTCTCCAGACCCAAATGTCTTTGGCAAACCCACAGTGGATGGGGTCACTTCCTGGAGCTGCTTTCTGTGTGCTGGGACCCTTATTAGACAGATGGGAATTCTCATTCCAGGGATATGCGAGGAAATGAGCAGAGAAACTCTGTTTTATCATTTCCCCCTTGGCTCCAGGCCACGTGAATGATAAAAGTCCCATCCTTTCACATTGCAGTCTTCTAACCTTTAGATCAACCTTAAACCAAGGTCTTCCTGCTGGGGAGGAGGAACACCCCAACATTTGCACCATCAAATTATTTATGGGTTTTCTTTGTGGAACGGCTTGATTTTTTAAAGACTGTAACTATAACAGGATATTGAGACTTAAAGGGGAAGGGAAGAAGCATCTATTAAACACCTACTGTGTGCCAGGCAAATAAGCACTTTATAAACAGCAACTCACTGGATCTCAACAGCAACCCTGGGAGGTAGGTGCTATTACTGTCCCCATTTCACAGCTGAGGAAATGGAGACAGATAGAGGTTAAATGACTTGCCCAGAGTCACACAGCTAGGAAGAAACTGAGACTGGATTTGAACTCAGGTCTTCCCGACTCCAGGCTCAACAATTTGTCCAATGGGTTATGAGCTGCCTCGAAAGACCAGACCTTAAAGGTTACACAAGAATAAACTCACAACTCGCCAGAAACAAAGAGGTTGCCCACTGACCACGGAGTGGCTAAACAACTTATGACACAGGAATGCTATTATACAATACAGAATGACCAAGATGAAGAATTCAGGGAAACACGGGAAGATTTCTATCAACTGGCACAGAACGAGTGGGAGAAGAAGATAAACAATCAATAAATAAATGAAAGCAAGACTCCAGGGCCCCTGCAATTACCCATCTCCTGAAGAACAGATGATGAAGCAAATCTGCCCCCTCTTCGCAGAGGAGTGAGGGGTTATGGGTGTCAAATACTGCATACACCGTCTTTCGGGGGCACTTTTGCTCAACCGTTTTTCTCTGTTACAAGGGCAGTAACAACGGCAAGGGGAAGACAGGTTAGGCAATGAACACTGTCAAAGACAAAAAGAATTAATAAAACTTTCTTTTAAATAAAGATTAAACCCTAAGATGGACAGCCAGGTGGTGCAGCAGATAGAGCGCCAGGCCTGGAATCGAGAAGGTTCATCTTTGTGAGTTCAAATTCAGTCTCAGACACTTACTAGTTGTGTGACCCTGGGCAAGTCACTTTATCCCATTTGCCTCAGTTTCCTCATCTGTAAAATGAGCTGGAGGAGAAAATGGCAAACCATGCCAGTATCTTTGCCAAAAAACAACACACAAATGGGGATCACAAAGAGTTGGACACAACTGAAAAAACAACAAATCCTAAGATAAACCACCCCAAACCTCAGGATTAAATCCCACAAAATCGTGATTGTTTATCTACGGTTGAGAAACATCACTGGATCTTATGGCGACCTCCTATACATCCTCTTTTTATAGTCACATTTCAAACAGTTGGAGCACCCAGAGTTATACATCAGCTGTCCTGGCACCTCATTACCTACACAAACAAGAGAGGAGTCCAGCTTAGCCAACACACTAGAAAATTCAGGGCACCCTATGCCTTTTCTAATACACTTTCTGTACATCCATTCCCTTCTGGTAGAAGCCAATTCTGACCTGCTACCTGCCTCATTTATTCCTACCAGTCGTACCCCTAGGTGTCTAAAAAAAATTAAAATTAGATTCTAGAGTAGAAAG